AAAAAAAAAAAAAAAAGAAAACCCCACACTGTACCCCAGAAGTGCATTAATGTACACAGTTACCATTCAATAAAAAATAAACAAATACATAAAAATAACACCTGATGCTAACTTTTGCCTGCTGCTGTGAACAAATTATTTATTCTCTATAAATGAAATGTGACTATAAAACAGCATTTCCTTAAAGTTGTTCTAGAGGACAGTAGTCCTTCCAGCCAACTCTGGGAGGGAGTGGGGTTTCCATAGTCAGATCTCTTCGGGAATCCCGTTAATGACATGTCCCTCTTCCCATTTCCTCTTCCACTTCTTGAGTGTTTATAATTTACATTAACTAGTTAAAGATTCTTAGATGGCCTAATCCAAAGAAACCTGGTTGACATAGGGTCTTCAAAACTTACTTGACTCTGAAATCCTATATTCACATGCTATCAGACAAGGGAAGATTTCAGACTTTTCTATGCTTTTCTGAATTTTCATAGTACTTATAAATTCCTTGCTGTACTTGGCCTCATGAGGGACCCGTAAACCTAGGAAGAAATTAGTTACTGAGCCTATAAACTGTTAGTGAGGACGGTGTAACTTTGTATGGCATACTTGGTCTGGTTTGAGTAGTTTGATTTTTCTTCTATCGGTTCATATATGGTTAAACTAAACTAATTAAATGAAATAGCCTGAATAATTCTTTCTGTTAGCTGATTACCTGGGAAGATATGGAGGGACAAGGAGATGTTGGAGCAGTATCAGCATTCATAAAAAAGAGGTTCAGATTGAGGTAATGTTCATGGCTACAGAGGATTCTCAGGAACTCCAGCCTCATGGAAATGAGGGTTGGAAGGTTATTGAGCTTGGCGGACAGCTGGGAAAAAAAAAACAAAAAGAGGAACAAAGTATTTATTATAAGACAAATGGAGTTGAAGTTGGCAGACACAAAAATATCCTTTCTCTCCAGAAGGCAATCAAATTAATAAAAATAAATGGGATAGAGCAGTAGATGGCAAATTCTGCATTACAGGGAGGCCCAATAAGTTTCCATTCATTACTGTTCCCTTGAATAATTTTAGCCTAATAGCTGTCCAAAATGAGGATTCTTGTCCCAGCCTTGTCAAATCTATGAAGTATAATACCATGGCAAGCCTGTGCTAAAATAATCTTGAGGTATGCCTTCAGTGTAACATAATATAATTAATTTTATAAAAACTCTACTGTGTCTGGGAAACTCAATGAAAGGACTTGACCTCACATGGGGCCATATGAAACTAACAACACGACAGGATGACTTTAATGCTATGAGTACTCTTTTGCAGTTTCTAATTAAATGAAAGTTCTCTGAGCGGTTCCCTAGAGGAAGGCATCAAACCACGCAAGAGAGCATGTACTACTACCTGCAAAAAGTCAAGGAGCTTACCCAAAAATGCCAGAGAAGGAAAGAGAGAAAGAAAGACAAAGCTGGAAGACTTACAAGAAAACGTCTTCCTTTAAAACACAAGCAAAGCAACCCACTAAGCAACCATGAAACAGGAATGAAAAGCTGGGGACCTGGAGCCTGCAGTTTTCATCACAAACACCCTCCCACCCCAGCCTAGGAATATGAAGCATCTCATTCTTGCAAATGGACATGCTTCCTCTTGACTCAGTTGAACAGTATTTTTCTAAAGTACATAAATTAAATAAACACATATTTCTAGCCATTTGAGGAGAAGCCATTGTGTCGTGAGGCATTCTGCCTATAGAATTAATCTATAGTTAGATATTTACTTAAAACAAATGAATTTATAACCTCCATGTAAGAACAGTTACCAGAATACATACCCTTTCAATGTGTACTTCTGACTTTGGACTGGTGGGACTATTAGTAAACTGAACTGATGGTTGGTGGTAGCCCATCACTTACAGTCTATCACAAAGAGTTGTTGGGGTAAGTGGGTTATCAGAACTTTTTTTTGTTTTTTTTTTGAGATGGAGCCTCAAGCTATCCCCCTGGGTAGAGTGCCATGACATCATGCTCACAGCAACCTCCAACTCCTGGGCTCAAGCGAGTCTCCTGCCTCAGCCTCCCAAGTAGCTGGGACTACAGGCATCCGCCACAATGCCTGGCTATTTTTTTTTTTTTTGGTTGCAGCCATCATTGTTGTTTGGCGGCCCGGGCTGGGGATTCAAACCCGCCACCTTAGGTGTATGTGGCTGGCGCCTTAGCCGCTTGAGCTACAGGCACCGAGTCAGGTTATCAGAACTTAAAAGCACAAGATATTTGCACTTGAAAGAAGGCCCCATTATGGGTATCTTTCATAAATGTCTTGAGACATCATTAATGTCAGAAATTTAAAAAATAATTTGAGTAAGGTTTTAGAAAAGAGGGGTAAAAGGCATTCCCAGAACATCTTTTCCAAAGGTAAAGACCCACAGTGCCAGCCTCAACAGCCCTACCCAAGGGACGGTGTTAACTTGGTAGCACACTGTAAATGACTGAGACTAACTGAAGAAGTAGATTGGTTCATTGTTAATGACTATTAATAAAACACTAAGGTTATAGCCATTGCCTCAAAGTTTTTAAGTGGCAGAAAACATAACAGGATGTTTGAATAAGGGCATATAAAATGATAAAATCCAACAACTTTGCAGAAATACGATTTGCCTCAGGTATGTCTGAAGCTCATTCTGTATCTAGAGAGCTGGGATCAGTGATTTAAACCATCATGAACTGGGGTCAGTGGCCCTGTTAGGCCTCAGTGCCACCAATCATGCTAAGCAGTATCCATGGATGTCACCTGTAGACGTAGAGCATAGAATCAAAGTGTCAAGATCTGGATAAATCTAATCCAGTGGTGTCTGTTTGGAGACCAGGAAACCAATGTCTCACAGGTTCACACTCCCCAGAACCGTGGTTAATGGCATCACTAGAGTTAGAACACAGGTCTCCTGAGCCCCTCTAGGGTTCTCTGGCAGTTGAGACAGGGGAGAGGAAGAAAGAGGAGGCAGCTAAAAGAAAACGAAAGAATTTAGAAAGAAGACTGTGAGGAAGAGAAAAGAAAGGAAAGAGAAAAACAAAAATGTGCGTTTCGCAGGGCAGGCACACATGGACTTGGGATGGCCTTGTTTCCTTCTGGGACTGAAAGCTGCCCATGTAGGAGGAGCAAACCCCGGGCCTACAGCTGTGTTCTAGTATCTCTTTCTGTAAATCCAACTTAAAGTTTTGAAAACAGATTAATTGTCTCGGTGCCTGTGGCTCAAGCGGCTAAGGCGCCAGCCACATACACCTAAGGTGGCGGGTTCAAATCCCCAGCCCAGGCCCGCCAAACAACAATGACGGCTGCAACCAAAAAATAGCCGGGCATTGTGGCGGGCGCCTGTAGTCCCAGCTACTTGGGAGGCTGAGGCAGGAGACTCGCTTGAGCCCAGGAGTTGGAGGTTGCTGTGAGCGTGATGCCATGACACTCTACCCAGGGGGATAGCTTGAGGCTCCGTCTCAAAAAAAAAGAAAACAGATTAATTTGTATGTGAAATGCACCCAGTGACCTGAATCCTAAACACCTAAGAAGGAAGGCAGGAGGAGTAAAGTACCCCTCTGGGACTCTATTCTGGTGGCTCCTGGGAAGGACAATTCACTTTAGGGCCAAGAGGGTGCCTGGGATTGGTGATGCTCTGGGACCAAGGATGCCTAAGGATTCCAAGGTGCCTAAGGATTCTTTTGTTATCATTCTGCTTCCTCCTCAGGACTTTGTGTAGAAAAGTTAATCTTTTTTTAGAGGGGGGTAAGGGGAGGTCTTATGCAAATGAGCCCAGCACTGTCTCTGGGTATTGGCCTCTGGCTTGTTTATTTCTTCACTTCAGACTGACACCTGGATCAGCTCACACCAAACTCAAATTTTCACACACCCAATTATTTTATAAATAGCCCAAACAATCAGATCATTAGCCTTTTAGCGCCTGCCTGCTGTGCAGACCCCTTAAATCCGCACTGGACAGTTGTTTCCCACAGATAAGACAGAGCTGGGTTAGTTACATTGCCCCAAACTGCTATAGCCCTGGGCACTTTCCCACCCCAAGATGCAGTGTGGAGCTGCAGAGGGACTTCATCCCGACACCACCCGCCATGAGAAAGGGCAAGATGGCGGCCTTGGAAGAACACTCACCTGGTTGCAGTAATGCTTGATGAGGTTGAACACAAAGCCACGATCCATGAGGGACAGAAGGTCATACAGGAAGAAAGCCAGGCTGATGTTGATCTTTTCTGCCTGTTCATTTTCCTTAGAAACAAACATACAAACACCCAAATCACTTTGTGGTAAAACCTAGACATGAACTCCCAGGAAGAGGCAAGTCCTTTATTTCAGCCATTGTCCCTCTGGGTGACCCTGGGCAAGGCAGATGAATCAGCAAAGTTGTAGCAAATATAATTTAGCTTTTAACTGGCACCATGACTATGAGGTTGAACCAAATAATTTCTTTACATACTGTTAATACTTATTTTTTTTTGAGACAGAGTCTCACTTTGCTGCCCTTGGTAGAGTGCCATGACAATCATAGCTCACAGCAACTTCAAACTCTTGGGCTCAAGTGATCCCCTTGGCTCAGTTTTTCTTTTTCTTTCTTTCTTTCTTTTTTTTTTTTAGTAGAGACAGAGTCTCACTCTTGCTCAGGCTGGTCTTGAACTCATGAGCTCAAGTGATACACCTGCCTGGGCCTCCCAGTACTACAAATATTTAGGTGCATTTCTTTTTGGTTATTTTTTTTCCGTACACGCATATTTCTATTATGTATAATTGGCCTCATTCTCTATTCAAGATTCAGTCCTGAAAGTTTTTGGTATCCTGGTAACTTTTTTTTTTTTTTTTTTGGTAAATACTTCTTGGAAAAACTAACTTAAAATACATTCACTGCCTTCAATGAGTCAATATCTTAATTTATAAGGATTACTGCAGAAAATCTAATCAGGATAAAAGAGTCAGTTTTTCCCTAAGGAATTTTTTTCTCTCTTAATTGGCAGCATTCCCAGCCTAAGAGAGGTCAGTGGCATGCTCAGTAAGGGCAAATTCCTTCCTGGATTAATGCTAGGTTTTATTTTAATTAAATTAATTAATTTGGTATTTATTTATTTATTTAGAGACAGAGTGTCACTCTATTGCCCACCCTAGAGTGCCATGGAGTTAGCCTAGCTCACAGTAACCTCAATTCCTGGGTTCAAGCAATCTTCCTGCCTCATCTTCCCAAGTAGCTGGGACTACAGGAGCCCACCACAACTCCCAGCTAATTTTTCCATTTTTAGTAGAGATGGAGTCTTGTTCTTGCTCAGGCTGGCTGCAAACTCCTGAGCTCAAGTGATCCTCTCACCTTGGGCTCCCAGAGTGCT